TACCCATTGTTAAATGGGTAGGTGAATAAACAATTTATTGAATGAATGAATGAATTAATGAAAAAAATAACTTCAACCAGAACTCTGAACTTTCTTTAAATTCCAAAAGTTATCCGCCTATAGGATCTGAATTACCAGGAATCTTTCCCCAGTCTCCATTTATGGAATCTGTGATCCCTCTATGTTCCTGGCAGAACACAGAACTATGCTTTCTACATCTAGCTGCATACTATAATCTCTGGAGTATTTAATATACTATTTAATATACATGTTCCTGGATAGTTCCTCATTCCTGCTGAATCAGAATCTGTGAGGATTATTTTTAACAAGTCATTCAGATGATTCTTATGCAATGAGCCTAGAATTCATCCATCTCTTGAAATGATCAACATGAGAAACCAATCATTGTATTTCTCAAATTAGAGAAGACATCCCAATTAGCCCCATTATATCAAAGAAAGAATATAAGCAGGTATTCAAGCATCCAAACTTTATGATTGGAATTTACATTTTAAACAGAAAAAAAGTTAAGGCAAAACTTTCCAAGATAAAATGGATCACGCATTTTCACCAGATGTCCTTACTTAGGAAAAAGAAATGTTAAAGAATTGTAACAGTGTCTAACCTGGAAAACAAAATACAGAAATTTTCACCAGTAAGCCATGTGCCTAGTACAACTCTGATTTAGCATTTGTTTAGCCTTACACAAGAGTCTCTATTTTAGAAAATTCATAAGTAACCCATTTTTCAGGAAACATCAATCTTTCCTCAGAGGAAATACAAAACCACTTTATACTGTTATTCCAACCTACCCTTTATGCTTTATTTTCCACCATTTGGCAACTTATACTCTATACTCCAGTTTAAAATAAAAAATCTCTTTTGCAATCCCTTAGACATGTTGTGCTTGTTCTCACATGCAAGATGTTCCTTCTGCCGTATGCCCTTGACCTTTTCTCTATCTGAATAATTTCCAACATTCAAAACCTAATCCAGAGACTTGCTCATTGTTGACACTCTCTTCAATATCCTCAAGCAAGGTTTTTGTTCCAAGTTCTGTTTTTGCAAAGTTACATTTTTATGATCTATTTAATAGCATATCTCCTTTCAATTTGTAATGAGCCATTTCCATATCTTTCACACCACCCTTTGATTCTTCTGAGCATTTCTTTTTCTTTTTTCTTTTTTCTTTCTTTCTTTTTTTTTTTTTTTTTTTTTTTTTTTTTTTTTTGCTTCTGGCCCATAAAAACAGTGCTTGCTACATAGTAGGCACTCAAAGGTGTTGACTAATCCTATAAAGGCACCTTCCAGCTCCAATATTTTGTGAATCTCCTCTAAAATGACTTCAGATTACTTTTTCTTTTCTAATTTAATTTCTCGAGTGTAAGCCCAAAACACAGTCAGTGGCCTACAAAATTAGTGTTATCACTAGATCTCGTGTATACAATCATCTGTATAGATTTTTTTTAAGATATTTATTTATTTATTTATTTATTTATTTATTTATTTGACAGAGAGATAGCAAAGAGGGAACACGAGCGTGGAGAGCGGCAGAGGGAGAAGCAGACTCCCCACTGAGCAGGGAGACTGATTCGGGGCTCGATTCCAAGACTCTGGGATCTGACCTGAGCCGAAAGCAAACGCCTGACTGACTGAGCCACCCAGGCGGCCCCAGTCACCTGTATAATTTTATCTGGTATACAGTTGTCAGTCATGTTCTTTAAAAAAAAAAAAAAATCAATCCCTCACCTATTGAAAAACTTTAAGAAGCCCTTCATTGCTGGTTGCATCAGGTTCTACCTTTTCTACTCGATTTTTCAAATACCCTCTATCTTATTTAATCTATTTAGAACTACCTTTTCAACTTTTGGCTTCATCTTCAATTGTATTCATATCATCATCTGCACTTAACCCAAAGAACCAGACATATTCCAGTGTCTTATATCAGTTTCCTCACTAGAGGTCAAAGAAGCAAGGACTATATTAAGTGGATAGATAGATGACAGAACTTAGTTTCATGGCACTGAGAAAATTACTACTTGGGACAAAATAATTCTGGGAACAGAAGGGATCAGCCCAATCAACTTTGTTTACTGCAGACTCAAATCAATGCCTTGTCTTTACCAGAGCTCCAGTTACATTTAGAAAAAAAGTACTATAAATACAGTGAAGAGGCAGGGCCACTGGCCATTGGTGTCTGGGTCCTTTGTACAGCACTTGGGGAGTGGTAAACTTTGGTCAATGTTTGTTGATTGATGACTCGATAGCTCTAGTTAAGCCTCACCATCAGAAGTCCAGATTTTTTAACAAGCTTCTCAAAGCTTTCGTTCCCAAAGAAGAAACTAAAGAAAACCAGATGACAATAATTTCAAATTGTAAAATGTTCTGGTTGTCAAATTTAAACAGGAATATCCTGTGCAACGGAGAGGCTGGCTGGTGCCAATTTCACATTTTGTTCTTTGGTGTCTGGATAAAGCCTGCTCTGCCAGTGAGCTGACAGGTTGAGACCACTCCAGATTCCAAAGGCACAAGAGAACATTCTACTTTTCATAATGTTCCTGCATTACCTAGGGAAAGGACTACATTCACAATGAAAAGAGCTTTGATTCATCATCAGTAGAAAGATTCTTCCATTTTCTGGGTGCCCACATTAGAATTTGGTACTGTCAACACTTCTTATAACACAGATCATGTATTGAAATGAGAAAACTATCACCTAATACAGCCAGAGAGATTAAGGGAGTTGGTCCAGATGACCACAGGAGACACCTCTAATTCAAAACCTAAAACATGACAATAGTGACTGTGATCAAGGAGCTTTACAGCACATAAGGGATTCAAAAAGCATATTAATCCACCTCCAGCAACACTACCAATTTAAAAGAATGATTAACCTTTTCTCCCACTTGATTCAACCTGGCATATGTATTATACCACTCTAAATGCTAGCAGACTCTATGCTTATGGCTTCCATTAGGTAGCATTTAGTATCCATGAAAACTTTCTTCAAGCAGTAATTACTTTTGAGACCATAAACATTTCAGATGGGAAAAGAAAAAAGCAAAAAAGGCACAAGTAAACTGAACTAGGAAAAAATAAGAAAACATCCCAGAATGTAAGTACGTTGATTTAAAAAGTAATTTAAAGATTATTTAAATGATACTAGGTGAGCATTTGCTCTGTTTATACTTTAAATAAAGTACTCTGTTCTGCTTGTAGGTATTGTTTATTATCTAATGTATGTTAAAAGCCTTTTCAAAGAGAGATTTATTCATTCTTGTATTTCAAGCACCTAGGTGCATAAACACCACGAGCAAAGAGAAATCATGGGGTATAATGGACACCACAAAGAATCCATTTCCTATGGTCTTTGAGTCTCAGTCTCCTCCTCTATGTAATATCGTAAAACTTATTTACATAAAACACCAGAAACACAGAAGGTACTCAAGATTATAGATTTGTTTAAAAATAAGTATTCAATACTACTTTCAAACATCTTTTTAGTAAAACAAATGCATTTTATTTGCAATGAGGCTTTCTTATAAATTCTACACTTATAGAAAATGATACATTTAGCAAACAATACACTTGTTTGCCTCCCTGTCTCACTTTACTGTCAATATTCAGGTGGGATTAGTTTTATCTCAGGCAGTTACCTCCATTGATTTGCATTTCAGACCTTACTAAAAGATTTTTTTTGCTCTTCTTTTCAACTCATGCCCGTTCTACATAAAATGTTGTGAACCCCTGTTAAAATGCAAAGGTCCCTGGAAAAACAAGAATCAAAGTGTCCATTGCTGCCAGTTCTAGAAGAAATATATCAGAAGCTAAATCATTAGTGATGAAGCCAGAGCTGGAACCATATCTGTCTAACTTCAGAAATCAGAAATCTATCTACTCCATCCTGCCTCTTTGGAACGCAGATCAAGGCTGAGAATGGAGAGGAGGCTCCTGATCAGGAAGAGATAGTACATGAAGGGTAGCATTTTGTTATTTAATGATCAATGAAGGAATCACTATGATGTTTTTACAGAACAAAATATAAGATTGTTCTCAAACAAAGTCCCTCAGAGTGATGCAGCAACAATGGAATCCTCTTGAGCTACAACCTTTCCTAAGCCACGCCATACCATTCTTCCCATGCAGGCTGGAAAGTCAAAAAGGAAAGGGGAGGGGGGTCTGGGTGGCTCAGTGGATTAAAGCCTCTGCCTTCGGCTCAGGTCATGATCCCAGGGTCCTGGGATCCAGCCCTGCATCAGGCTCTCTGCTCAGCAGGGAGCCTGCTTCCTCCTCTCTTTCTGCCTGCCTCTCTGCCTACTTGTGACCTCTGTCTGTAGAATATATAAATAAAATCTTAAAAAAAAAAAAAAAAGGAAAGGGGATACTAATTCATATTACACTGCCATTAGATGCAGATCTAGTGTTAATGATGTTTTATTTCATGGACTGAGAAGTTTCTCCAAGGAAAGGATGAGCTCTATCCTCAAGCAGCATCACTATGAAATAATCAAGGAGCCAAGGATGGTGGTATTAATTATTCTAAGTGTAGGGATTTGTTCTGCAAAAAAGAAGCAGCGGTCAGAAAGAGAAGTGCCCAACAACTACTTAACAAAATCGTTTCAGAAGTAAATTTCTAAATCTATATTTAGATTAATTAATTGCTAGATAGAGATTGCTAAATTTATTAATTTAGAGAAAATCTGAGTATGCTCCTGAAACCAAGAGGTATTTTATTAAACACCTATCCAAGAGTTACTTTTTCCTCAAATGGCCACCATATGGGTAGTCATTTCAAACACCAAGAAGTAACAATAAGTATTTTTAGGAAACTGATGTGAAAGAAAAACTTACCATCTTATGATAAAATTTGTTGTAGCTGGAGGTGCCTGGGTGGCTCAGTCGTTAAGCATCTGTCTTGGGCTTAGGTCATGATCCCAGGGTCCTGGGATCAATCTGGCATCAAGCTTCATGCTCAGCGGGAAGCCTCCTTCTTCTTCTCCCACTCACCCTGCTTGTATTCCCTCTCTCACTGTCTCTCTTTCTGTCAAATAAATAAATAAAATCTTTTTTAAAAAACTTTGTTGTAGCTGATTCTTTGATCTCATAAGCATGTATTAACTTCCTAAATTTGGGACTGAATCCTGCCATTAGAAAATGTTCCTTGAAATATTGCACTGAAAATCGTCTTTTATCCTTTAACATAAACACTGTATATGTTATTAAAAGATCAATAAAAATGCTGGTATTGCCAAAAAATTATTTTCCTAGTAGTGGAATTCAGGAAAATACAACTTTTATTTTATTATACTTCTACAAAAAGTTTTTTTCCACAAAGACTTTCATCAGGGGTGCCTGGGTGGCTTAGTCATTGGGTGTGTGCCTTTGGCTCAGGTCATGATTCCAGGGTCCTGGGATTGAGCCCTGCATAGGGCTCCTTGCTCTGCAGGGAGCCTGCTTCTCCCTCCCCCACTCTCCCTGCCTGTGTTCTCTCTCTTGCTATGTCTCTCTCTGTCAAATAAATAAATATCTTAAAAAAATAAAAAGACTTTCATCAATGTTAACTCTGAAGAGAAACATTTGTAGTTGTCTTATTGCTTAATGGTGACAGACTTGCACTTTTTCAACTGCTTCTATTATGGAAAATGGGGCACACTTTACCATGTTGTGGTAGTAAAAGAAAAAAAGAAAAAATATCCTCATAAACACTGGGCTTTAACTAGCTCAGTTAATGGGTTTCAGGCATTCTAAACAGTAGCAATTAAAAAATAACTTTAAATTTTATACATTTCTTCCAGTAGGATGAAAATCTAAGATATGTTAAACTTGATTTTATTATTTCGGCAAATACAGAGTTAGATTACTCCCTGTCAAATCAGAAATCAACTTCTGACAGCGAAAAAAATGCTAATTAAGAAAAACAGTAGGCATTTTTTATTAAGTATATTTATTTCTTTCCTGAGAACTTTGGCTATACAAGCTCTACACACAGTTTCCGCAGTGATCATCAGTGCTTTCTAACAATGCCAAGGCAGTGCTCTGTCCAATTAGTGGAACACAGGGACCAGTCAGATGCTGATGCATTTCATAAAAGAGGTGGTGGCAAGAAGCAAATGCAATTAGGGAATATTATCTCTGTCCTGTGTGCTTTACAAAACAGTATCTTCTCGTGACTCCTCTATCTCGTCCTTGCTAACATCTTAACATGTGTAAATTTTATAAGTTCTAATAAGAGAAAACTGAAAATGCCCAGGGAAAAGGTAAAAGCACTTCAACATAGAAAGGTCTCCCTGGGGATGCCTAGGTGGCTCAATTTGTTAAGCATCTGCCTTCAGCTCAGGTCATGATCCCAGGGTCCTGGGATGGAGTCCCACATCAGGCTCTGCCTGCTGCTCCCCCTATGCTCCCTCACTTGCTCTCTCCCTGAAAAATAAATAAAATCTTTAAAAAAAAAAAAAAAAGTCTTCCTATTCCAGGTACAAAAGATCTAGAGTTGCCAGGGAATATCTGGCAATATAACTCCCGAAATAACTATATGAACATAGATAGCTGTATGAACATATGAACAAAGAACAAAATTTGCCCACGTTCTCACTGGCCAAGCTATAAGTAATTTTTATAATTATTCCTTAAGATTATAGTAGAGGGGCTCCTGGGTGGCTCAGTGGGTTAAAACCTCTGCCTTTGGCTCAGGTCATGATCCCAGGGTCCTGGGATCAAGCCCCGCATTGGGCTCTCTGCTCAGTGGGGAGCCTGCTTCCTCCTCTTCTCTCTCTCTCTCTGCCTCCCTGCCTACTTGTGATCTCTGTCTGTCAAATAAATAAGTAAAATCTTAAAAAAAAAAAAAAAAGATTATAGTAGATAAAAAGTTTCAGTTATACCCTAAAAATCTTTAACACTTGTTCACCTTTCTTGTTTATAGCCTTCCTTGTCCCAGGTAAGAGCCAACAATAGCAGTAACAGATATCCTATCTTAAGAGGTCAGAACTAAAAGTGCGTTGAATACAGAAAGAAAGGAAAAACCATATGGTTCTTATATATTCACAAAGTAAATGAGAATCAAAGGAAAATTCTTTCCCAAAAGCTGGCAACAAATAGTTGCTCCTATTAATAAATTCAAGAAGAACTTCGAAGTAATCAGCAGCCATTGCTTCTGACACAACCAATAGCTTTGTAACTATTGGTTTACTTTATTTTAGAGTAACTTACACTAGAATTTAAAATGCAATTGTTCACAAATTGTAAACATTTTGTACAGTAGTGTTTGGCATCTCTCTATAAATAAAATGTTTTCCTAAGCCCAATATCACTCTTTTTATATTGAATAAATAGTGAAATTACTGTGGAATATCTGGTAAACGTGATAGGAAACCTCAGATGTCACAATTTGCTGTGTAAGATTTAATGTGGCCAACAGAGTTAACCTTCATCAGGAGCAATATTGGTGGGTTGACCCATGGGGTGAGACCATCATGTTCACTAAGGAAAACATGAGTGAGGATCAAAGACCAGTCAAACACAGACTCTATGCACAAATTCCAGTAGCAAGAAATGGCCAAAGTCAGCTCTTGTTATTGAAGAAAATAACCCTATAAGAACAAGTGGGAATCCTATCTTAAGTTTTAATGGAAGAATATTATTTAAACTATCATGAAATGTGAATCCTTAATATCTGTTCATTGTACTGGGTACATAAGATTTTACTTTGTAAAAGACTTGACAGATTTTTCAGAAAAAAATTGTTCTTTATGGCATTTTGTGGTAAAGCAGATAAAAGTGAGATCAACATTTCTTTGAAAAAATAAAGTAACAAATGTATGGAGAGTAAGTTATAATTTATTTTAAAAATGAGCTGAGTCAAAAGAACATGAAAATTAAAGAGAAAGAAGAATGAGGGACTTTCCTGGTCTGCAATTGTGACCTTTCTTCTGGTGTCAGAAAATGGTTATATAATTAATTTTATCCCTATGGATTTTACAAACATAACAGAATCTTCAGGCTTCCGTAATCTTTGATTATTGCCTCTTAGCCCCAACAACACCAACTCTCTCACACACATGTATTTTTTATTACTGCCTTCAGAAGGAAGGGTTTCATTTATATAATTACTGTTGTAGGTTTTTAGACTATTGACCCCAGTGCATCATATTTCACTATTTTCTTACCATGTTTAGTTCCCTCCCACACTGACCTGGGCTTGGTCATGTGACTTGCTTTTGCCCAGTAACATATCAAGAGCTGGAAAGTACTTGTACATCAAGCTTGTCCTTATGGAAACCTGCCATGTGAGGAAGCCCAGCCAACCTAATGGAGATACGGGGCCAAGCTGACAGCCAGCACCAATGACCAGACATGTGAAAGCAACCAGCCCCAGTCAAGGAACCAGATGATGGCAATCCCATGAGTGACCCCAGGTGAAGGCAACATAGATCTATCCAGTGGATCCCAGCCCAAATTGCTGATTCACAAATTGTGAGCAGATCAAATGCTTGCTGTTTTAAACCGCCAAGCTGGGTTCATTGCATAGCAATAGCTACAACTGTTTTCACTGTTAGATTATCTTCCTGCTTTATACTATATTTTCCCTCAAATATTCCCAGATTCTAGAAAATAAATAATAACTGATACAGCCTTAACACTGTTCCTCTCTCCTCTGTCTCTCTGTACACAGACACACAGACACACACACACACACACAATTTACACAGTTGACTCCTCAATAATGTGGGAGTTAGGAGTATCAACTCCTTGCACAGTTGAAAATCCATTTATAAATTTTGACTCTAAAAAACTTAATAAATAGTGTTGAACAAATGTCTTATGAATAATACAGAGTCAGTTAACATATATTTTGTATATTATATATATAACATACTGGATTCTTACAATAAAGTAAGCAAGAGAAAAGAAAATGTGAAGAAAACCATAAGAGAAGGGGCACCTGGGTGGCAGTCAGTTGAGCGTCCAACTCTTGGTTTCTGCTCAGGTCATGATCTCAGGGTCCTAGGATCGAGTCCCACACCATGGCCAGCATGGAGTCAGCTTGGGATTCTCTCTCTCCTCTCCCTTGGTTGCCCCACCCCCCCAAAATAAATAAATCTTTAAAAATGTTTTAAAAAATGATAAGAGAAAATGTATTGATAGTACTATACCAAATTGAAAAAGATAATATATAAGTGGACCTGCACAGTTCAAACCCATGTTATTCAAAGACCAGCTGAGAGTGTGTATGTGTGTATATGTGCATGCACATTTGAAAAATAATTTTATTTAATAAATCAATTTTTACTTTATTACAAAAAATTTTTTCAGTTACCTTAAGAAGTAATGCAGAATTATACTAAGTTTATAAATCTGAAGGCTCTTAAAAATGTTTTGTTCCTTGGATTCAAGTCTTAGTGTGCTTTATGTGGTTATTTATCTAATATGATTACTAATATGATTCCAGAAAATTGATATTTCATATTAAAATTTAAGCTTGAAGAGTCTTGTGACATTTTACCTGAGAAAAATAATACATTAATCCACTTTCAGCCAGAAAGCTCATGGTTTCCTTTATTTTCTAAATTGCCTATCAGTGAAGGAGACAATGTAGAATATAAGACTGCCATGATTAGGAGGAAGGCAGTACAGAAAAAGCCCCCAAAACCTAGGCATTGTCCAATCACCTCCCTATGCTTCAGTGGGAAATTATGTAGAACTTGAAGACAGGGAAAGGAGACAGATACAATATAATCATGATTAGGATAGTGACTCCTTAATTTTGTTTAAATTTGAATTGCAGAGGATTCTGGGGAAATGATAGTAGCTTCTGAGAAGTTTTTTAGCTCTGAATAGCCTATCCCTTCCCTAAAGACACAGGCTAAAAAAGGGGGGAAAAAAAGGCATCTTACAGCAAAACCACAAATTCACAGACAACATCTATGATAAGGTACAAACATGAGCTGCAACATACAACCAGGTAGGGACAAATTAGTAAGAGCAAAAAGACCTACATATGGGATCTAAAAGTATGTGGAAAGAACTTGAAAGAAGATAAA